CAGGAGCGCGGCTCTGGCCCAGCAGAGGCTTCCTGGCACAGTCCTGTCTCCAGACGTGGGCGGGAGTGGCCCCAGTTCGCAGGAGAAAGTCGTGCCCAATGTGACCTTCATGATTTCCGGATATTAAAGTCTCCCCAAAGGGAGCTCGCATCCAAAAATCACCAACACACGAAGGAAACCACCCCCATGAAAAAATCAACAGGAGCGTAGCAAATGGTAACTTCACCCCCACGTGGACCTCACATATGAGAACAGAACAGCAGAGCGTAAATTACCCGTTTGTAAAATGCTTAAGGAAATAAAACAGGAATTGCCGAAAAGTGAGTGAGGAGCAATGAATTGGCGGAAATAGAAAAAATAGAAAATTGGCTGGAAACGAATATTAGAATTTCTAAAATAAAATTCAGTGAATGGGCAAGCAGCTGAAGAGAGAAAAATTAATGAGCTGGAAGCTGTATCTGAACAAAGAACCCGACTGCATCACACACAGAGTACGAGGCGGTCACTCCGGAAGCACGTGTAAACCCACGTGAGGCAGGGTCCCCTCCGGCACACGCCGGGCACATCGCAAACATCACTGGACGCAGGGCACACGTGCGGCGGGCAGTCACGTCAGGAGTCAGCGGTCGCAGATGACTTGTCTGAACTCACAAGTTGGGAATCCACGGACACATCCCTGGCGGGAGTGAGAAGCTACTTGGACGTGAAGGACAGTGACCACGCCGCCTTTCAAGACAGGTGGGATGCAGCAGAAGAGGGACTTTGAGAAAAGCTATGGAACGTAAGCCCAGGACATGGAGACCCAAAATGCAGAAAATCAGAAGGCGCAGGTGCAAGGAAAGCGGATACAAATGAGGTAATTAACTAGACTCCAGAGGAAGAAGAGCACGGAAAACAGACAACACGGCCCGTCCTGGGGAGGGACTGAGCAGATAAGCCAAGTCCCCAGCGAGATCAGTGAGCGGGGGCAGCAGGTGTGAAACATCAGACGTTTTAATAAGGAAGTGAGGAGGCTGGCCGGACCGGGAGCAGACAGTGACTAGGAAGAAAGAGAACGCTGTGAGCAAATTTGCAGGACACACTGGGAAACTTAACCACACAACCTTCCAAAGAATCAAAACATGCTTAGGAAAGAAACAGAAATCCTGCCAGCCCTACAAACACTGAATAAGCGCAGTCCGTGCTTCAAAACACCAGCCCGGGGTGGTCTCAGGGATAAATGCTGCCAACTTCCAGGCACAGACGTCTGTATTTATAAACTCCTGCAAAGACTAGACAAGGAGCAAACATCTTCCAAATCCTTCAATGATCTGAACATAATTTTGATAACAAAAAAGAACTCAGACGCTGAAACTCTAAGCAAGAGTGTTTGTGGAGCTATCCAGTCGTCTACGCAAAGAATGATTATGCTTGCTTCATCCAAGGAGTGCAAGAGTGAGTGAACGTAAGAACAGCATGTGACTACAGCTCACCCAGCTAGCTCGTTAAAGGAGAATCACCTTATGATTCTCTTGAAAGACACAGAAAGGCACTTCATAAAATCCAGTGTTTATGAATTTAAAAGCTCTTTGTAGAATACCAACAGACGAAAACTTTCTTAACCCGAAAGGTTCCTTACCAGAAACGTGATTCTTAAAGGTGAAGTGAGAGGGGCTCCGTCTGTGACCTTGTCTGCAAAATCCCGTGTGGATTAACTGTGCAAGGTAAAGTCTTCAACTTCTGAGTACGGTGACATAACCACCTCCGTGGTGGGGAACAATTGTTTAAGGCAACTAAACAAGTGTGAAACACTAGCCGTAAAAGTAGACATTGATTAATCTAATTTCATTAAAATACGAACATCTGTTCCTCAGAAGACAACACAAAACTGTGAAAAACAGTCATAAACTGAGGGTTGTCAGTGACACACGGCCAACAAGAGAAAGTATGGAAGGTACAAAAGGCACCAATAAGAAAAAGGCATGTGACTGGACCAAAATTTAAAGGCTGAATTCATTCTTTGGTTGGTTATGCTAGATTCAGAGGGGTTTTTTCAGGTTTTTCTTTCTATCATAATGTTTTGTAACTTACATGTGCTATTTTATGTGTAGCAAACCCAGAGGAAATCTAATAATTCACATAAACTAAGAGTTAATGTGGGCTTCAGGTTCAGCGTGAACCAGAAGATTAGTGATGTCACCAAAGGTGTGTTTCTTTGGGATTTCTTCCCTGTGACTTTGGGGGGTGGGGAGTTCACCCTCAGTCTGGCTTCCCTCTTGGTCACAAGGTGGCGTCCAGAAGCTCTCAGCCTGGTTTCTCTGTCCTCAGCCCTGGAGAGAGGGGAATCCAGGCTCCAACATCCCTGGTTGGGTCCCCCCGGGACAGCCACTCTTACCTGAAACAGGCCTGTGGCCAGAAGGGTGGAAGGGCCTCACCGCCCGGCACAGACCACCGGCCCTCCGCCTGAGGCTGCGAGCTGCTTCTCTGGGAAACTCAGCTCTTCAGGATTGGGCGCCAGAAGGGAGGAGCGCGGCCCCGGGGAAGGAGGCAGAACGGTGAGCCGTCCAGGCCGCCCGGAACCACGGGAAACCCAGCCTGGCTCTGCTGGGTGGAGAAGGTGGCGCTGGGGGGCTGTGGAAGCAAACCAAGGACTGGAGGGTGTCCCCAGCGAGGGCGTGCGGCCTCCCGGGCTGACTCTGCTCCGCCGGCTCGAGAGGTGGCGCTCCCACAGCTCCGCCTGCCGCGGGCTCCGTGGAGGAGTCCCGTGCGCACCTGAAGCTACTGCGGACCGGAGCAAGGATGGGCGCTGGGCTTGCCAGAAGCCAGCGAGCGGGTTCGCACCGTGCAGAGCCTGGCCTGCACCCGCGCCCGAGGTGACAGCGGCGGGGAGACCCCGCCCTCACCCTCCAGCTTCCCGCCCCGCCTCCCTAGGGCTCCTCTTGCACAGTTCCCCTCAAGACCAGTTTTGCAAGACGCATAGGCCGTCTGAAGCCCACACCTGCCCGCCAGCGCCAGCCACTGCCCCGCCACTCTCATCGCCCAGTGCTGGAAGGGTGGCGCGCACCAGGCCTCTCCTCCCGGACCTCGCAGGCCGCACCTCGCGTGACGGTCGGGACGCCCACGGACGCGGCGTGTCCTCAGTTCGCAGGTTTGGAAGCTGAGCGCCCAGTGCAGCAACGCAGCGGGATCGCGTTCACAGCACCCGAGTCGCCGCTGGGCGCACGGGGACACTGCAGCGCTGCGGGATTAAGGCGGCGGCCGCACTTGGAGGTGAGCAGATCATCGAGCCGCTCCAGGCAGAGCATAACCTGCAGTGGAAAAGCAGAGCTTGAAACATGTAGCACAAATGTGGCTGCATGTCCGCATGAACTGGGCAGGGGAAAGGTTTGTCTCCCAGGAGCATCTGGTTACTCTAGGTCCCTGGCAGGAGCCATGAAACTTTTTGGCGCCAGCTTGTCAGTTTCTTTTCCCCCAGAGGCTGCTGGGACACATTAATTTGGAAAGAACAATTCTCCTACAAATATGTGGTCTCCCAACCCACAAGTATGCCGTAGGACACCCCCAGTCGTCCAGGTTTTATTTGATTTCACTCAGAAAACGTCCGTAGCTTTTAGTCGGGAAATCTTGGATAAGGTTCACTAAACGTATTAAGTACCTTTTCTGCTTGAAAATAGGAAAGTCGATTGTTAAAAATTTTACTTTCTAATTGTTTATTTTGTGTATCCACTAACACAATGGATTGTCTTCCTATTTATGTTGCTGCCATGCAAAGGTTATTCTGCAGATTCCTTAGGGTTTCCTGCACGGGCAGTCGTGTCGTCTGTGAACAGCTACTGCTTCCCCTTCCACGGGAATAGAGGTTACTTGTTTTTCTCGCCTCAGTGTTGGCTGGGGGCTGGGCAGACATCCCAGCCTCATTCCCAGTTTCAGGAGGAGGCATTCGGCGTCACGAGAGTAAGTGTGTTGCCACCCGGAAGATGGCTGTCAGGCTGAAGTTCATCCCTCCTGTTTCTCTGAGTTTCTATCATGAATGAGCGTGACGTTGCCTCGAATTCTCCTTCTGCGTGGAGGACTGAGACTGTGCATTTCTGTCTCTTTTATCCCGTTGATGAGAAAGTTCTGTTGGTGAGTCTCTGAACGCCGACCAGCCCCGCGCTCCTGCGAAGCCGCCCGTGGGCGTGACGTGCCTCTGCTGGACTCCGTGTCTCAGGTTTCGTGGCGGATTCAGCGTCCGTGTTCCTGGAAAGGGTTCCTCTGTGATTTCCTTCCTTGCAGGGTCTTTCTCAGGAGGTGTCAGGGTTTCGCTAAAACGAGTTGAGACGTGTTCCTTCCTCCTCCATTCTTCTAGAAGTGCTGTGTGTTATCTCCCTGAATTTTTTTTTAAGAATTCAGTAAAACCCCGTGGCCCTGCAGTTTACTCGGGGAAGCTTTCTTGTTGGATGCAGAGTTTTCCGATCTTGAACTTCTTGAATCACGTTTTGCTTTGTGAGACGTTTGTCACTTGCATTAATACTCCCACAGAGCCTTTCTCTGTCTTTGTCGGCGTCTCCTTCACCGTCAGCCGTTCACCGTCAGCCCACAGCTCGTGTTTGACTGTCTGTCTCCTCCTCCCATTGTGTTTACCTTCCTTTCCTTTTGCAGCGGCTCACAGTGAAACCCAGATACTGAAAGCGCTTCTCATTCTCCCACGTGGGCGTGGAAAGCTATCAGGTTTCCTCTCATCTCTGATTTATCTGCATCGCACACACTTTAACTTTGTTTTCATTTTCAGTCATTAAAAATCCCTTTCCGTTTCCCACGTGGCTCTGCCCATTTCCCTTCTGTCTTTTTCTCTCTCTTCCTTAGTGAGGTCCCATCGATGCAAAGCTCTCCGACCGCCCCTCCTGCCGGCTCCCGCCTGCTGCTGCGCCTGTCCACTGGTACACTTTTCCCCAGCTTTGGTACGTTTTGGGTCTCTGGTTCCCACTGGTTCCTACTTGATTGTTTTTTGTAGTTTCCTTAGCTTTGCTGAAGGTCTTGGTGGGTTTACCCTTCAAGAAGGGGAGGTGAGCCCACAAACCACCACGGAGAGCTGCCCGCGGGCGAGGGGGGCCTGGGAGGCGGGGTGGGAGGCAGCTCCCTGCCCTCTGCCTGGTTTGAGTGAGCGAGTGATTGAAGGAGGGAGAAACGAGAGGGGTGATGGGGGACTGAAGGATGGAGGTAGGAGATCCGTGCCTTCCCCCACTTCTTCCCACCCAGACTTTGGGGTCCAGGCTGGCCCAGGGCCTAGGCCATCGGAGCAGCTGCACTGGGGTGTGAGGGCCTCCGGGAGCACCTGGTCCAGGCCACGCTCTCCAGTGTCTTTGGGGCAAACACAAACCCTGGAAGGAAGGGAGGGGCCACCATGGCGAGGGGAGAAGCTTGCAGCCTGGGGCAGGGCCGGCTGGGAGCCCCCCAGGGCCACTCGGAGGGCAGCCCCCACCCCTCACCAGAAGGAGAGACTCCAGCGAGCACATTTTAAACGAGGATGTTTATCAAAGGTGGAAAAGAGAAACTCATTGTGTGACATGGACGATGTTCCCATCCCCGATTCTTAGGCAGAATCCTCTCTGAGCAGCCATTAAACAAAAACTTTCATCTGTTCACCACGGGTGACTCCGGGGTGCGAGTGCGTGGTTTTGCACAGGAACTGACAAGCCAGCAGCCCACCACTCGGCCTGTTTCACAGCCTGAATCCCTCAACATGATGTGCCCTTTGTTTTTAACTGGCTTAAGAGAAAGGAGTTGACAACCTGCAAGGCGGAGACTAGACGGACCTTCGAGGTGGGGACAGACCCTCGGGGGGGCGAGGATGAGTGGGCCTGCTGTCGGGCCGCTGCCACCAAGTGCACGGGCCGTCCAGTGTGGCTCTCAGCCTCTGGATGACAGGCCCGAGGAGCCACTCAGCCACTGTGTCGGGAACAACCCAGCTCCCTGGACCTGGATTTCCGTGGGGACGTTGGCGCGGGGCCCTGCGCGCTCCCCCAGCCGGCACGGGGTGCAGAGCTGCAGCAGGAACGCCCAGTAGGCCGGGCTGCCGCCTGCACCCAGCCCCGCCTCCCCTCAGCCTGGCGGTGCCGCCCCCGCCCCCTTGGGGAGGTTTAGTGAAACTCTGATCCCAAAATCAGCCAAACCCCCCAGCGGTCACGATTAAAGGGAACCCGTCCCTGCCCTGCGCGTCCTTTCACAAGCGGGTATGAGGGGTCCAGCCACCAGGGCCCCAGCCTCCTGTGTCTCCATCACTCAGGCCCCCCCAGCCCCGCCAGGCTCACTTCCCTTTGAAATGCTAATTCTCTGATTAATTACACTTTCCACTTCTTCAGCCAGTTTTTATTTTTTTAATCCTCAAACTTCAAGAGGTTTGTTCTGAGCTAATGATAGCAGCTCACCCTACAGCCCAGACCAAAGTCAGCCCACGAGGGCGAGGAGGGCACCCAGAAGGCTCTGCATCCGTGGTCCACAGACAGACTCAGGGCCCCTGGGAAAGGGCCCATGCAGAGGGGTGTGGAGCCACCCCCCCTGCCCAGGATGTGCCAGGCCAGCAGGAGGGGAGCGCAGGGCGGGGCCTGGCCCCGGCCTCGGGAAGCCCCTCCCCCGTCTCCGGGCCTCGGTTTCCCGTCCCTCCATCGAGGAAGCGGCCCCTGGCCTCTCCTCTCCAGGCACCCCGTTACTGATTCACAGGCCGCAGGCGAGGCTCCAGGTGTGCCAGCCGCGTCTCTCCGGGCCTGTGTCTGAAGCGCGGTTTCTATCACATTTAGGGAGAAATCCGTTTTCTTCTTAAATTCAGGTTCTCCTTCCAATCTGCTCCCTCCACACCTCGTGGTGCCCGGTCCCCACGGCTCCGCCACCCCTGCCGTCCGGGGAGCAGGCCCGGCACCTGTGTGGGAGGTTGGGCACCTGTG